TTTTATGGATGAACAGTAAATACTGAAACAGCAATTCAAAAAATAAATTACACTTATTTGCTGTACATTCATAAATTCTGTACAGTATTTACTATGCATCCATAAATTCCTTTCAATATTTACTATGCATCCATAAATTCCTTGCAATATTTACTATGCATCCATAAATTCCTTTCAATATTTACTATGCATCCATAAATTCCTTGCAATATTTACTATGCATCCATAAATTCCTTTCAATATTTACTATGCATCCATAAATTCCTTGCAATATTTACTATGCATCCATAAATTAGTTGCGATATTTAATGTGAATCCATAAATTCCTTTCAATATTTACTATGCATCCATAAATTCCTTGCAATATTTACTATGCATCCATAAATTCCTTGCAATATTTACTATGCATCCATAAATTCCTTGCAATATTTACTATGCATCCATAAATTCCTTGCAATATTTACTATGCATCCATAAATTCCTTGCAATATTTACTATGCATCCATAAATTAGTTGCGATATTTGATGTGAATCCATAAATTCCTTTCAATATTTACTATGCATCCATAAATTCCTTGCAATATTTACTATGCATCCATAAATTCCTTGCAATATTTACTATGCATCCATAAATTAGTTGCGATATTTAATGTGAATCCATAAATATATTGTAAAGGAATTTATGGATACATAAAAAATATTAGAAATTTATGGATACATATAAAATATTACAAATTTATGGATGCACAGAAAATATTTTAAGGTGTTTATGGATATACAATAAAAATTGCCACCAATTTATGGATACCAAAAAAAAACATGGTTAAAAATTTATGGATGCACAGTAAATACTGTAATATTAATTTATAAATACACAGTAAATACTAAAACAATTCATAAAAAAAAAAATTACACGATTTACAGTGCATCCATAAATTTCTCACACTATTTATACTCTACATCCATAACTTTCTTCTAAACAATTAAATTTAACACAATGACATTTCATGCTCAATCACATGTCGACATTTAGATTTTCCGATTTTTTGTCACGAAGACGTCTAAATGAAAATAAAAAGGAAGAAGAAGAAGAAAATTGGTACCTTATATATATATATAAATAATAGAACGTTTTAAAAGTGATGTGATTTGTGGCGTGTCTCAAATTACTTACTCTCGTTTAAATCCGCAATGGCGACTCGCTTGCCTTGATTGTGTGTTTGCACACAAACTGGCCGCGCCGAGGGGATAAAAGCGAAAATGTCAGTTTACGTAATGTAAAATGCGGCGCGCATTGAATAACTGGCACACACGCGGAAACCCATGCGAATAATTCTTTACGGTCCCGTGAGAGAGGCGTATGCCTCGCGGGGTAAGGCGGGTAGGGGCAAAAATTTCTTGCATTGCCTTCACTATATATAAATACATAAAAAAAAAAATCGTTGTGGACTTAAAATACCTTTTTTTTCCCCCGTCAAATTATTTACCTATTTTTCGGGGTTAATTTGCACTAGTTACTTGTTTTTTTTTCCATGTAAAATGATTAAAAACAGTTTTTTATTCGTGAAAATTTAGTATTGCGCAACTATGAATTGCATAGAACGTTACTGCGCAGTCGTAGGTTGTGCAGAATTCTACTGCGCAGCCGTAGATTGCGCAAAACTCTACTGCGCAGAAGTACATTGAGCAGAACGTTACTGCGCAGCCGTGGATTGCACAGAACTCTACCGCGCAGAAGTAAATTGCGTAAAACCCTACCTTACATTACGCAGAACCTTACTGCGCAGAAATACATTGCGCAGAACGTTACTGCGCAGTTGTACGTTGCGTAAAACCCTTCCGCGCACAGGTACAATGCGTAGAACTCTACTGCGCAGCTGTACGTTGCGTAGAACCCTACCGCGCACAAGTACATTGTGCAGAATCTTACTGCGCAGCCGTACACTGCCTAGAACTCTACCGAGCAGAAGTGCGTTGCATAGAACACTACACAAGTACAATGCGCAGTAAAATTCTACGCAGTGTACGTCTGCGCAGTAAATTTTTGCCAATTTGTACACATTCAAATTTTGTAAAAATTTACATTAAAAAAAAACCCCCATAAAATTATCAATTATTTTTAAATTAAAAGAGAAAATAGTTGAAATAAATAAACAAATTTTCAAAAACAAAATTCTATTTTTGTGCAACTGTTTAAAAAATTTGATCTAGTTTTGAAATATTATTTCAATTAGGCAATAAGTATATATATATATATGTGTGACGAAGCGTGAGAGGTTAAGGTCAGTTTTCAGATGAAAGTGAACGCAATCACATGAATTTGAATTGGAGTGAAAACGCGAGCAAAAGTCGATTGACAATAATGCATCCAAAACCAGTCCACTTTCGCTTCCGCCTTAAAATAAACATGAGAATTACTATATATATAAATATATATAGGCCCCAAATACACACATACACTGAAACGAAAAAGTAACTCCCATAGTTGTAAGAAAACGTTACAGTATATATAAAAGTGGTTTTGGCAGACAGTAGCATTTACTTTTCTTTTAATGTTTCATAATCCGGAGGTTACACAAGCAAATAACATCTCACTCAGTCTACTTTAATTATGTTTCAGTTTTTTTTTCTTCTTCTTCTTTTGCTATATCTCTATCATATTCTTTTCTTATTTTTTCTTCCTTCTCTCAGAAAAAAAAAAAAATATTAAACTTATTATTTGAAACTATATATTATTATGAGATATATTGTAAGAAATTATTCAATTATTGTTATTTCGCAGGGGTGAAACCACTTGCAAAGAAAATGAATTTCTAATTATTGCCCATTTGTCTAATTGGAGCCAATTGAGAAATTCTTATCTTGCATCTAAATATATATATACCTATATATATATATATATATATAGTGGAATTCAAGATGGAAAAAAGGTTAGCATTATTATATTGTTACATGTGTGTTTAGTAATTTTTATCCAAAAATCAGTATTTTTGGAAAATAGATCATTTTAAAATTATACAAGTTGTTAAAATTTTTGGAAGGATTTTTTGATAAATTTACCTTTTTTGCACTAATTTTAGAGTCAAATGGAATCTTTCTACGAAGCGATAATCGAAATAATTTCAAATCTAGTTAAAAATAATTGAGCACTAGAATTTTTTGAAGTATTTTTCAACAAATTGGATGATTTTGGAAATTGGAGCATCTGGTAATGCTATTGGTAATTTTTCTTGTTATTAATTACCTTTTTAGTGATATTTTTAGTATCAAATGGAACCTTTCTACGAAACGATAAACGAAATAATTTTGAATCTATAGTTGGAAAAATCCGAACACTAGAATTTTTTAAAGTATTTCAAAAATTAGATGATTTTAGAATTAGTACTCTAAGCAAATGCTTCGGGTAATTTTTTTTTGTACCATTTACCTTCTTTCCGACAATTTTAGGGTCAAATGGCACCTTTCTACAAAGCGATAATAATCAAATTAGAATTTAGTTAGAAATAAGCCGATTAAAAGAATTTTCCAAAGTAATTTCGCGGATTTTAGGATTTGTACTTTCAGCAATGCTTTAGGTAATTTTTTTTTAACAATTACCTTCTTTGTGCCAATTTTGAGGGGCGAATGGAACCTTTCTACGAAGCGATAATGAAAAATAATTTCAAATTTAATAAAAAAAAAAGTAATCACTAGAATTTTTGGAAATCAGTATTTTGGCAATTTAGGATTAGTACTTTCAGCAATGTTTCGACCAATTTTTTTTTTTGGTATCACTAACCTTCTTTGCGACAATTTTGAAGGTAAATAGAATCTTTCTACGAAGGGATAATTGGAAATAAATTTGAATCTAGTTAGAAAAAACATCAATAGAATTTTTCGAAGTATTTTTTAATAGTTGGATGATTTTGGAAATTGGAGCATCTGGTAATGCTTTTGGTAATTTTTGGATGGTTGAATCACCATTTTTGCGACATTTTTAGGGTTAAATGGCACCTTTCTACGAAGCGATAATAAAAATAATTTCGATTCTAGTTGGAAAGAACATAATCACTAGAATTTTGCAAAAGTATTTTTGGCAATAGTCTGATTTCAGGATTAATACTTCCGGCAATGCGTCGGGTAATTTTTTTTTTTTTTTGGTACCGCTTACCTTCTTTGGGACAATTTAGAATGCATTTGGAATCTTTCTACGAAGCGATAATAAAAAATAATTGAAAAATAAGAAAAAAACAATGCAGTAGAATTTTTCAAAGAATATTATGGAAATTAGATGATTTTAGAATTATTACTTCTACTAATGCTTCGGGTAATTTTTTTTTTTTTTGGTACTAATTACCTTCTTTGCACTAATTTTAGGATCAAATGGAACCTTTCTACGAAGCGATAATCAAAATAAATTCAAATCTATTTAGAAAGAATTTTTAGATTTTTCCAAAAAAATATTTTCAGCAAAGTCTGATTTTAAGATTAGCACTCCTAGCAATGCTTTGGCTAATTTTTTTTTATCAATTACCTTCTTTGCCTTAATTTTAGGGTCAAATTGCACCTTTCTACGAAGCAATAATCAAAAATAATAATTGCAAATTTAATGACGAAACAAATCTCTAGAATTTTCCCAAGTCTTTTTCAATAATTAGCAGATTTTGGAATTAATACTTTCAGCAATGCTTCTTGCAATTTTTTTTTGGTATCAATTACCTTTTTGCGACAATTTTAGGATCAAATGGCACCATTCTACGAAGCGATAATAAAAATAATTTCCCATTTATTTGGAAAAATACTTGTCACTAGAATTTCAAAATCAGAAACAAGATAACCAAATGGAACAAAATCAAAAATGAATCAAAATTAGAAACATGTGAATAAAAAAAAAAATCAAAACAGTAAAAATAGAAGGGACAAATATAGGGGTTAAAAAAACAAAATTGCATACATGAACTCGACCCTATCTATATGGGTACGATATCCATATAAAAAAAATGTGTTACAAACAAACTCACCGGTTTGCGTGATGACATTTGCCAGAACAAGCAAGACACTGCTGAGAATCATCATCATCATCTTTGTCGTCATCTTGTCTTTTCTGGTTTTTTTTTTTTTTTTCTTTTTTTTTCAAATCTTGAAAACTTTCAAAACTTTTTCCAATATACTCTTCTCGTTTCTAAAACCGCAAAACAACAACAACAACAATTTTTCCCTTCCCCCGTCGTGCATTCATTCATGCGAGACACTTGTTAAAAAAAAAACACGTGGTAAATTCTTATTTTGAAAATTAATAAGAGGCAAAAAAAAACACTTTTTTTTCCCCAAAAAAAAAAAAAAATCACTTTCTGCTTCTTTTTATAATTCCAAAGTAGTGATGGGGGGAAAAAATTTTTTTTTTTATTTTTTGAAAATGGGGACAAAAATTTTTTTTTTTTCAATTTTTTTGAGTGACAAGGAGCAGCTTGTTATGGAGCGCCGTTCAAAGCCGCGAGAGCTCCATTCACGTCGCAAAACATATGCTACGGTCACGAAGAGAGAAAGGTGACTGGATACGTAAAGGCGTACTCAATACCTCCTGTCTTCTTGGCATAGTCACCTTTCTAGCAAAACTTGCAACAAAGAAGGGAGTGTTTAACTATATACATTGCCACCACCACCACCACCACCATAATTCAAAAAAAGATTTTGCTATAACCATCCCCTCTCCCAATTACTCCACCCCCCCACCCATTCCTCCAAAAAACAGGCCCATTTGGTTACCTACGTGTAAATAGTTCAAATTTTTTAAATGGCATCAACTAATTTCTATCTAAACATTACAGTACGAGAAATTTTTCACTAATCAAGCATTTTATATAATTTGGGCCTTAAAAAAAAAAAATTTTGGGCCTTAATTATTATTTTTTTTTTTTTTTAACGAAAATTTTGAAATTTAAAAAAAAAATCTCTAACATTTGCTATATATACGTTAATTGTAACAAAAATTGAAAATTGTTTACAATGTGATTAAGAGTCTCAAAAAAATTTGGGCCTTAATTATTTTTTGACGAAAATTTTGAAATTTAAAAAAAAAAAAAATTTTTGTAACATTTGCTATATATACGTTAATTGTAACCAAAAATCGAAAATTGTTTACAACGTGATTAAGTTCAGGTTTAAAAAAAATTTGGGCCTTAAAAAAAATTTTGGGCCTTAAGTACATTTTTTTTATCGAAAATTTAAAATTTTATCAAAAATATAGAATATTTGCTATATATGTTATTTGTTTATCGCGTGATTAACTTTGGGTCTGAAAAAAAATTTTGGGCCTTATAAAAATTTTTAGGCATTAAGTACTTTTTTTTTTATCGAAAATTTAAAATTTTATCAATAATATAGAATATTTGCTAGATGTTATTTGTTTATCGCGTGATTAACTTTGGGCATTAAAAAAAAAATTTTTGGGCCTTATAAAAATTTTTAGGTCTTAATTTTTTATTTTCGACGAAAATTTAAAAAAAAAAAATTTCAAAAATATGTATACAACATTTGCTGTGTGTTATTTGGAACAAAAATAAAAAATTGTTTAACATGTGATTAAGTTTGGACCTCAAAAAAAAAATTTGGGTCTTAACAAATTTTGTGATGAAAAAAATTTTTTTTTGACGGAAATTTAAATTTTTTTAAAGCTCAAAAATTTATTACGTGTTTAAATTTGTCTTTTTATTTAAATATTGAACAATAGAGGATATATTCCATAAGGAAAAATGTTGTTTTCAAATTTTTTAAATTTATTTTTTGGATAATGTTTTGAGAAAGATTTATATGAATGTATATATATATATATATATATATATATATATAAAGATGCAAATGCCCTATATAAGGATATATTGCGATATATAACACACTTGAACGAAATTTAAACATTTCGAAATTTCTCAAACTTTCCTTAAATTAAAAGAAAAATAAGATAAAAATTATTATTAACTTATGAAATTTTTTTTTTTTTTTTCTTTAATAAAAGCAATACAAAATTGATTTGACACTTTCACCTATTAATCTCGATATATATATATATTTTTTTTTCTTTTTAAATTGACAATCCAATAAATCGAAATAAGTTAATTCGATTATTTTAATTGACAAAAGTTATATAATTAAGAATTATGAGATACATAGGATGATAAATCAAAAAAATCGAAAATAAAACAATATATATATATCGAAATAATGATCATTAATTCGAAATATCGATAGTTAGTTCTAAAAATCGATTATTAATTTAACATATATCGAAAAACGACTATTACTTCAATATATCAAAATATCGATTTTTAATTCAAAATATCGATTTTTAATTCGAAATATCGATTATCAGTTCTATATATCGATTATTAGTTCGATATATCGATTATCAGTTCGATATATCGATTATTAGTTCGAAATATCGATTATCAGTTCGAAATATCGATTATCAGTTCTATATATCGATTATTAGTTCGATATATCGATTATCAGTTCGATATATCGATTATTAGTTCGATATATCGAAATCTCGATTATTAAATCGATATATCAAATTATCGATTATTAGTTCGATTTATCAAAATATCGATTATTAATTCGATATATCAAAATATCAATTATCAGTTCGATATATCGAAATATTTATTATTAGTTCGATATATTGATTATAAGTTCGATATATCGATTATTAGTTCGAAATATCGATTATCAGTTCGATATATCGATTATCAGTTCGATATATCGAAATCTCCATTATTAAATCGATATATCAAATTATCGATTATTAGTTCGATTTATCAAAATATCGATTATTAATTCGATATATCAAAATATCAATTATCAGTTCGATATATCGAAATATTGATTATAAGTTCGATATATCGAAATCTCGATTATTAATTCGATATATTAAAATATCGATTATTAGTTCGGTATATCAAACTATCGATTATTAGTACAATATATCGAAAAAAATATCATTAGTTTGATAATATCGAAATATCGATTAATCATTCGAGATATCGAAAAATGGGTAATTAATTTGATACATTAAAAATTTAGATACTGCAATGTTTAAATAGCATGATTTGAATCAATACTAGTAGTTAAAGGTAAAGAAAAAGAAGAAGAAGAAGAAGAAGAAGAAGAAGAAGAAGAATTATGTAAAATCCTTCCTATCGAAGAGACCTTTGGAAAGGAAATGTTACATAGTCATTGAATGAAAAGACAGTTGCGGTGTGTTGTAAATGAAGACAAATGAAGGCAGAGAAGGTGGCAAAAGCAATATTTTCGTTTTCTTTTTCTTCTTTTTGAAATATATATATATATATATATATATATATATATATATATATATATCGACATTGAATGGAATGTTCTTTTACAGAATTCATTGAATTCCAAAAGTGGTAGCTTGTGTTTTATATATTGAGCGTTAATATTTAAACATTCGTCAAGGTAAAAAGAAAGGTTAATTTGTTAGGAAACACTATATATATATATATATAACACTATATAAAAATATATTTAAGTATATTATATGTTTACATAATAATAATAATAATAATAATAATAATAATAATAATAAAAATAATAAAAATATTAATTATAATAAAAGTAGTAATAATAATTTAAATATAATAATATAAATATAATAATTATATATATATATATATATATATATATATATATATATATAATATAAATTCGGTGGAATGTCAGATTAAAATAATATTTCGAAACTAGATCAATTTTAAAAAAGTTACGACAATCCGTAGGTGAAATAATTGACTATCAAATATGAATGTATCATTTTGTACCATGTGAATAATATGGTATAAAATTATAATTAAATTTCATTAGTGATAATAATAGTAAAAATCATAATAGTTATAATAATAGTAATACAATAATAATAATAACAATTTTTTAGTTTTATTAATAAAAATTATTGTTATTAGTTCAAATTATAATTAAATGTTATCTTTGTAAATTTTTTGTTTATTATTGCCAAAAACTATTGCAATTTATTATTATTATTATTATTATTATTATTATTATTTTGTAAATTAAGTTATTTATAAATACGGAAATAATATATTTCATTTTAGATAAAGAATAATAAAAAAAAAAAAAAAATTCATAAACTATTTTAAGAATCCAAGCGTCTATCGACACTATTTATATAAATGAAGAATTTAAATATGCATCTCTTAAAATTCTTTGAGTATACGTATATATGTATATATCTATTTCCATACGCATTCATTTCTGATTTGTTATCAATTTAATACTATATATATATATATATATATATATATGTTGAAACGGAAACTAATGATCGATTGATTTCGATATAAATAATAATTATATTAATAAAATAATAATAAATAAAAAAAAAAAAAAAAAAAAAAAAAAAAAACTGGAACACCAATGTGAAAATTAAAACTCTCTAAAGAGAATGAAAAAAAAATTCCCTTTATTTTCATAACAATATTATAATTCTCATTCAATTTTTCCGGAATTTTTTTTTTCACTTCATGGAAAAAAGATAACAATCAAAATAGTTGATTGTAATTGTGACAAGGAGGAATTTAGCAATTGTACGCCTTCAGTTTTATAACGTTCAAATACCTTTATATGTATTCCAAGGCTTTTAAATAGATCCCGATATATATATATATATATATATACATGTCTTTAATAATTATTTTTTTTATTTTTTTTTTCAACCTACGCAATCGATTTGATATTTAAAGTGTATCCGGAATCTTTGTGAATTAATAAATTCCTTAAGTAAAAAAAAATTTTTTTTTTAAGGTAACGATAACATATCCGCATATTTTTCGATACTATATCGATACTATATCGATATTAATTTACTAATTATATTATCGATATATCGATAAAATATCGATATATCGATACGATAGCGATAAATATTGATACTACATCGATATATCGATATATCGAGAATAAATCGATGCAATAGCGAAATATATCAATACTATATCGATATATCGTTCAGATAGCGATAAATATCGTTACTATATAGATACTATATCGATACTACATTGATACTATATCGATACTATATCGATATTATATCGATACTATATCGATACTATATCGATACTATATCGATACTATATCGATACTATATCGATACTATATCGATACTATATCGATACTATATCGATACTATATCGATACTATATCGATACTATATCGATACTATATCGATACTATATCGATACTATATCGATACTATATCGATACTATATCGATACTATATCGATACTATATCGATACTATATCGATACTATATCGATATTAATTTACTAATTATATTATCCATATATCGATAAAGTATCGATATATCGATACGATAGAGATAAATATAGATACTACATCGATATATCGATATATCGAGAATAAATCGATGCAATAGCGAAATATATCAATACTATATCGATATATCGTTCAGATAGCGATAAATATCGATACTATATCGATATATCGTTCAGATAGCGATATATATCGTTGCAATATTGATATATCGTTCAGAAAGCG